CTACATACAGATTCCTTTCAGTTTCCTTGGGGAGGTTAGTGATCCAGTAATACTCAAAAGCAAGGAAGCTTGTAGAGACTTCAGTTTTAACCCTGACATGTTCAAGACACTAAGGGTCAATCAGGGCAAAATTTTCCCTATTTTTATCAGGCATATTTGTATATCTGCACATCAAAATTGGAATTTTCTCATCAGTTCTATTGCTAATGATGAAAATATGTGGAGCGCACAAAATGCTCCTTCCATAAAACCAATGCAAGTCAGGGTCTCTTTCCCACAGTGATAATTTTTTGTATCTTGGGAGGTAGAATTTTGAGCTATGGTGCAATATTGGAACAGTACTATTTGACATATTGACCTAGCCATCCTTCAAAATGGAACATATTTCTGCAGAGGTGTAGCTGGGCAGTTCTGCACTTAGATGATGGTGAGGCATGGGATATAGTTCACAGCTGGACTACCAAGGGAAGTGGCACACCCTTAAGTCAGAACCTGGCATTGGCACCCTGGTTACCACCCCCAGTCATACTAGTATATATATATCTGAAAACAAGTCAGCACCCCCCACCTCCCACTATCCCCATTTAGATTTAATTAATTATTACATTCTGTTCTTGGTAATGATAACTCAGTAATATCTTCCATTGACTGATTTTTCCCCCCCCCCCTAAAATATATACTTTCAGATTTTTTTTTAATATCAAGGTTTGTCCCAATACCAACATTTGTTATGATAACTTAAATTGTTTTTTGCCTTGGACCAAATTTCTTCTGATAAACTTTTGAACTAGGTAGAGTTACACAATGAGGGGACCTGGCTTCAGGTTCATAATAAAATCTCTAAATCCCATTCAGCTGTTACAGTAGTAATGGCCTAATTCTCCTTCCATTGAAGTCTTTGAGGTGTTTTAGTAAAGATTGTTTTCCATGTGTGAAGTATGGCACAATTATGTAATATGAATGGCAAAATCTCTGATGATTTCAGCAGAAACAGGATGTGGTCTACTCTGTGCAGCTGCTGAAGTTTGTCAAAGTAAGGAGTCAGGTCCTGATTAAGAACAACCATGAAATATTTGCTTAACTTTAAGCATATGCTTAAGTGCTGTCATGAATAGAGAAGATTTCCTGAATTGAGATTTTAATCCTACAGTTTTTAAGTAGGAAAGCTGACTGGAACAAGTAGGAATTTTGCTGAAGGAGGACTGAAATGTGCTCTACATGACAGGTAATGTTTTTCGTATAAGAACTGGAACACTGATCTATTTGGTATCTTCCACCTGAATTGATTTTGAATACCATATTTAATGCACATTTTCCAGATTAATGTTAAATTAATGAGAGATGATGTAGGAGCAGCTGCATTAATCTGTGTGCTAGACCTTAGTGATTAATGTGGAACAAGCTGATCATCCCTGAGGTTGATTTGCAATTATGTGAGAGGAGCAGTTCCTTGGTTAAGGCCTCACTGGATCATTGTGTTTGCAGTTTTGATCATATTCAATGTTTTTGCCAGATTTCCAGGTCCTGAATAAATGTCATATGGGAGGTTAAAAAAATTGCTCCCTATTAAAAATGGGAGGGTACAGGTAATGTGATTAATACATTACTTTAAACCAATGTTTGCTTAAGCATCTCAGAAGTTGTTTTACAAAATGTTATAACACAGTTCTCTGATTAATTTGTTTTACTATAAATTGACAAGCTCCCATGTTCAGTTTTATTTGCTTTACTGCTACTGAGCCTTAATGTGTTATAGGATTTTACGCCATCTATAAAAGGCTAGAAAAGAGCTATCTTTTTTGTTCTGTATAAGTAGTCTATTGGGACCACTAGAAGACTGTAATAAAGCATTATAACACTAAGGGTATCTATTTATTCAGAATTATGCAGGTCTTTTCAACAGTTTATAGGACTCTAGTTATAAAGACTTTAAATAGCCATGAAATGATCCACAAACTCTAGGCTTTATGTACATTCAGTAGTAACTTAGTGACAGGAAATCTGTGGCAGTTGCTTGGCCAGTCAAATCTATAATGTATTAAGGGGGAAAAAAAGTGTTTTATAAAACTGCCTGGAAAGGGTAAGTGGTAAAAATCTTGGAGACACTTTAGTGTGAAAGTGAATGAAGTACCTAAACTATGTGTTTATATTTAAGAAAGGGTAGATCAAAGAGATACACTTGAAGGGGCGGGGGGGTTCTTTCTGTAGCATGTAGGCTTGAGTGACAGTATCTGTATGCATAAAGTCGTATGAACATAAAGATGTAGTTGTTTAGCCATTAACACTGCTGCATGTTTAACTTTCTACCAGCCAAACAGCTCTGTACTTCATCTAGGAGTAGAAGAGGATAAAGGTCCTGGACAGCTTCTTTATTAAGCTCCCTGTAATCAATACTAACAGCCAGTGCTATCTGGTGGCTGCTGCTTGCCTGAATAATGGCCAGGTGTAGTATATTCTTAATTAGCTTAGTGAACTTTGCCATAAATACATTGATATCTACCTTCTGCATGTGTATTTTTGGGATTAATGCACGCAGACATAAAATGATAACAATGAAGAAACGTGACCAAGGGTTCTGCTATTACAGGATCAGTTCCACAAATGGAGATGTCTTCATTAATCTAGTTTTGACATAAGTATGTCACATTTCTTATTTTAATTGTTCTATGGAGGTATGACCTGGACAACAGCCAGAAAAGTAAAGTTGCTGCTTTTGCACGTATGGCTGTATATATATTTTATAGGTGATGAACTATTGGTATGTTCTCCTTTGTCCTTTATAATGTCATAATTTAGCATCCATAGGTGATAATTTATTTCTTAAAATACAGCTAACATCCATGTTATAGATGAAATTCAGTTCCGAGATCAGTGTATGGAACTTGTCTTGTTCTGGGGTAACATTTTTCTGACTATTTTGTGTGTCGCTATAATCACATTATCTAAAGGCATACTTTTCTGAAGGTTTCCTGTCATTTGAAAAAATTCACAAAGATAAGCTTTACTCTTTTTATACCAGTTTTATATAGCAGCTGTACTGAAGCAGATTAGGTAAAGTGGCCTTCTTAAGGTCTCAGAGTCATTTTTAGAGCTGGGGTTATAACCTAGAATTCCTGATTCTAACTCCCAGAGAGGATTTGATAAGAGAATTAGAATTAATTGTCATAACGAGGGAAGGTCTGCATGAGACACACAAAGAAATAATTAAGGGAATAATGTGACACATGTTCTCCTAGACTATGAATTCAAGAATCAGAACATTGCAAGCTTCTGTACAGGTTCATGTATATTCCAGTTATTATGATATAACCCATTATGATTTAGGATTCATGCCTACTGGTACATTTTTTATTTTAGTGCATGTTCTGCATCATTTTACCTGTTCAGAAAATTTACCTTCTCTGGGTTTTTTCAATTCTCTCCCTTAATTAATTGCTATTTGTAAGTGATTCCTTTACAACAGTTCTTTGGAACAGACATGTTTTAAATGCACATGTCTGAAAGTTGTATTACTTTGCCTCCTTGACATTTTAAAATTTTTTAAATGAATAAATTGCTTATACAGAGTTGGTGGGGTAGCAGTTTTTTTTTTCTTTTTAAGATAAGAAGTACATGAAATAAAGTGAGAGAAATAAAATAATGCTATAAATGATAAAGTAATGTAATCCCCAGGAGAATACCCATGCTACCAGTAATGTTCAAGAGTCATAATCTGCAATTTAACTTGTTTGTTCTCAGGCTATAGATAATGGATAAAAGTGGTTGGTTTGCTGCCAGTACATGGTTTATTTGCCAAATGTGATGTTTCAGACTTGTTTAACTTGATCCGTGTCACAGGCTCTTCTTATTAAGAGGCTGCTGTTGATAATATAAAGAGCTTTACATGCAGTTACTTTTAAATCAGTTACCTACAAAAAGATTTTATGGCACAGGATTTGTTAAGCGCACAGAAGATTTGGCACATTATTTCAGATTCAGTTCCTGCCATATTTCTGTGGGCATGACTCCCTTTGAGAAAAATGGGAGCTTCGTAGGCACTGAGAACTGAATATGTTTCATAATGCCTATATGGAAATGGAGATATTCTGATACATTACACAAATAAGTTTTCCTCATTGTTGATCTATATGTTGTTACTATATATTTGCTTTAAATATTATGCAAAAAGTTTTACCTATCAATAAGAATACTTTCATGCTAGCAAACTGGTGGTTAAGGGTGGGACACTGGACTGCCCAGTTCAAACAGTGACACATTTTAGATAAACCACACCTCACAAGTAGTTTGTAAATTCTTCTATAGGGGTACATAATAGATCACAGTCACAGAGAGCATGACCTGGAAATATATATAGGTATACAGATGTGGCTCCCTTGGCCAATTGGTGCTCTCTCCACTCAGTCTCCTGTGCAAATGTCTCTTCAGTCAACACTGTGTGAATACCACATTGAATATGGGTACACAGAGACAAGGCTTTTATAGCATGTTGGAGCACCCACTGGGGCAAACACTATAGCTATTAGTGGGCACCATCCAATATATGAACCTCATCTAGGTAGAATAAATGGAAAATGATGTCAAGATTGCATGTCATTGAGGGAAGTGTTGGATAGATAAGTTTAAGTCACCTTCCCTCTTGTCAATCCTGGAGACACTTTGCCTCTTCTTTTCCCCCTTTCCTGTTGTATTCAAACAGACCATTCTACCTACATCCTCATCTTTCCCAGTATTTCCTAAGTAGGATAGAGCTAAATACATCGGCTTTACATGGATTGGACATTGAAGAGTGATGATGGAGTTGAAATGGAAGATCTGCATCTCCACTTTATTGGAATAATGCAGCATTTTTAATACAACTATTAATATTAAATTAAGTGTTTAAACTGAGAGATACATCATAAACATGCACATTCAGGTAATTTAAAAGGGCTTATGGCCCACTCCCCTACGTGAATGATAAGACAATATTGATGACTACTGTGATCTGTTTTTATTTTCAGATTGAAAATCTACAGGAGCAACTTAGGGATAAAGACAAACAACTAACCAATCTAAAAGACAGAGTGAAATCATTGCAGACAGATTCCAGTAACACAGACACAGCGCTGGCAACATTAGAAGAAGCTCTGTCAGAGAAGGTAATGTTTAGCTTGTAACTCAATGTTATATGGTGCACCTCAGTGACATGGGTGAAGTGTGTCTAGAAAAGATGGTTCCTTAAACTTATCTAGTACCAAATGCAGAGAAGAAAGTTTGTGTAAGGTTACAGAATTGGCATGTAAAATAATTGGAGTTAACTTGGAGGTTTATGCCACTAACTTGCTAATATTGGAACACACAAGATAAAGGACCTGACCAAATAAAATTGGTAGAAAAATTTCCATTGACTTTAGCGGCATCAGGATTCCATTTTGAGTTAACTTCTAAAACACAGGTTTTTGGGACAGCTCACATATTTGAGCTCAATGGGATGACCTGTGTATTTAAAGTTTAAGCACAAGTGTAGTCTTTTGCAGTATTTATATTTTAGTAGTATTTACCTTATAATTATGCAGGGAGAACACAACTATATAAAATATTTATTATTTTGTAGTATTTGATCTTCTAAAGATATTCCCCATGTTAAATATACAAAATATAGTAAAACAGCATTACAAATCAAACACGGTGGCATGATTTTTTGTTTCTATTCACATTCCCTTTATTGTTTCTTTTGATTATACTATACTTAGTCTATCTAGACAGTTTTCTCAGAAGGTTTAAAATATTTACACAGGTAAAACTTTGTATGTACTCAGGGGCAGCAGCTTCCACTCCTAACCTTGGTTTTTTACTCCACATACGCTAACATATTTACTCTTTCTTATAAACTGTTCCCAAGTTTTGCATTTATGAACTAACTGACAAAAGATGATTAAAGATGAAGTTGTCTCTTGTCCAGAGACAACCTTGCTTCAGGCCCCTGCCCCCGCTTTCCTTTCTACCTCCCTCTAAGCCACTTCTGCTCCCAATACCTGCAATCTAGGGTCCCTGCCCTGCCATCCCCCATATCTCCCTTCAAGCTTCATCCTGCTCCCTCCCTCTCCCTCTTTACCTTTGCTCTGGCACCAGCGGGCTCCATCCTTGCTGCAGCCTGGGGCACAAAGCAAGGCCTTAGCCCCACCCTGTAGCTGTGGTGCTGACTCTGCACTGCTGTTATAGCTCCTGGCTGGGGCCATCCTCCATGCCCCAGCAGGGAAGGAGCCTGGCAGTGCTGGACCAAAGGTAAGGAGGAAAGAGCAGAAGGGAGATGGGGTAGGGGGAGCAAGGGAGAAGACAGGAAGGCAGGGATCCAAGGCTATAGGGGAAGAGTAGTGGGACACAGGCAGCAGCTTTGACTCTGGCCCTCACCCAGGCTTGGAACTGGAGCCAGAGCCACAGCAGCAGCCTTCCTGTTGTCATTTTGTAATTGATTTCAAGATGAGGGGCTTCCCCCCATGTTAAATGAAGGAAAACCCTTGTCTTAGAATCAAGTAAATAGAAAAAACTTGTCTTGGAATCAAGTAAATTTGGTATTTGGTGTTCCTGATCAATGATATTATGCTGATTTACACCAACTGAAGATGTACCCTAACAAGCATAATACAAAGGTCTAAAATGCATCACGCCGGACTTTCTTTAAAAACTTTGAATAATGGCTTTGTCCTTTGCTCTTCAGCTTTATTGACTTATTCTTGTTGACTTTGCAAATTGGTGGACTCCAACCCTGTCATTTGAATTAGAGAAATCCATCAGAATCATCCTAACCTGTGCAATGTTATAGCACCATTAATGTTTATATCTCATGTTTAGAGTTAAATGTCTGTTGTCTGAGAGCATTTTGTACTGGATGGTGGAAGGAAAAAAACATTTCAGGATCAGAGCAAAGAGAGAAGTTTATCATGAGAATTGTACAAGAAACAGGACACTTGGACACGGAGTCACTTTCAGAGACACTGTTTTATATACACCTTTAGACCTATACAGGGACATTCTTTTCCCTGTAGATATCTGTATAGGCCAGAATTTTAAAGGTATTTAGGCACCTACAGATGCAGATAAGCCCTTACTTGGGTATTCAAACATGACTAGACAAATATCCCAGGTGGAAGTTAGTCATTTAAGTAATTTTGGAAATAACTGTATGTGTTTATTTAGGCCAAATTTTCAGGGTGAGGGGTTCTACATCTTGGAAAGAAGTGACTCTGAAATGTTACTGAAACTGAACATGAACTGGCCATGTGAAGTTGTGGCAAAAAATGGCTAACAAACTTTATACAGACCTGAGTACTGTTTTCATCCCAGGGCAATCCTCTTTATTGTGTACAATACTCCAGGTCCAGTTGTCCTGTTTCTTGCACAATTTTCATGATAATCTTATCTCCTTGCTCTGATTCTGTAGTGTTATTTCCTTCCTATATCTGGCATACCATCCAGTACTAAAGGCTGTCAAACAACAGGCATTTAACTCCAAACATGAGATACACACATTACTGGTGCTGTAACATTGCACAAGTTAGGACGATTCTGATGGATTTCTCTAATTCAAACTACAGGGTTGGAGTTCACCAACTTGAAAAGTCAATTAAAATAAGTCAATAAAGATGATATCTGTATATATCAAAACTCATGTATTACTGGGTTCAACTTTCCAAACTATTCTAGAAGTGACTTTTTTTCTCATGTCAGATTGCCATGCCATTAATCTTTTTGACCTTTACAACTTTGTCCACTAAGATTTGAATATTTTTTCTGAACATTGATAAAAATGTTATTTAAGTGTTGCTACAAATAGGTTTTCCATAGGACCCAGCCAGTAAAATCTGCATTGATGTCTTTTGAGTATTTCATTTAACTAGTTTTTAGTTTAATATGTGCAATATGGATTTAGCTCAGCACTATTTTCATTGATCATTGTGCATACTGAGTCAAACATTTCATAGGATTTTAAAAGTATGACGTCAATATAGTTGCATTTATTTGAATTTATAATTTAATTTTAATAGATTATAATTCATTGTCAGTGAAATTATCATCATTATGCAGTATCACTATATTATCTAGCTTTTTTAAAAGCAATAAGTGCTTATTCAACATTTCTGCTTTTTCTGTGTCATTGCTGGTGATTTTACTATGTCCATGAAAAATGTATTATTGGCAGGAATGTTACTGTTCCTGAAGCATATATCTCAGAACTGTCTAAGGCTATAGTAGGAAATGTGATCATAATGCCTTCTATAGCTCAAATCTGTGCTCTCTAACCCCCAAAAACAGCAGGTAATGTTTCAATATTAAGATAATCCCCCCAAAAGTGGATTTGTCACTTCCCAAAAGTGATTGTTGTAACTTTGTTCATTTAGGAAAATTATTTGTACCAAATAAGGGGTTGCCTTGAAAACCTTTATAACTAAAACGTGTTCATCCCATAAATTAAAAGTATAAGAATTACACACATAGAGAATAGGTTTTATTTCCCAAGCAGAAAGTTAATCCCTGATGAACTGTTATACAGTGCTAAAGATTCTATAAAAGATTCTATAGTGCCTATAAATTCTCACGATTCTGCAAGATACAGTCCCAGTGTGTAGTGGTCAGCATTTAATATCTACTAGGTGAATTACAGGGAGTCCTTTTATGCCCCATCTATGCAGCATAAATATGGTTCATTTATTGTATATGATTAAACTGGGACAATTTAACAAGGAACTGAACAAAGGTTAGAGCTGGAGTATTTTTGAAAACATGTTGCAGAATGGTTTGCTAACTGTCTGCTTTACACAAAGGGTAACATTTTTGTAACCCAGGTACACCCAAAGGTGTGCCCTATTCTCAGTTGGGATGGGATGGGTAGGCAGGAGGGGGTGCAGTGAGAGGGATGCCAGAATTTTGAATGGATCCCTCTTTCCTTTATAGAGTTAGCACAAGCCCAAAGTTCTTAACTATATACAATTTCTTGAGTTACCAACATATATATATATATATAGCTCTTTAAGAGAGATATAATTACAGATGTAGATACAAATAAACATATAAAGGTCTGTTAGCTGGAGGAAGTTGGCCCTAGGGAGGGCATTCAGGTAAGGACCCGTGCCTCAGGTTCAGAAGAGGGGTGGATCCCAGGACAGTCAATCTAGCAAGTTTATACCACAAGTGGGTTAGCTAATAAAGACATCCTTACAGAGCCCATTATACAGAATTAATACACCCAACTATTTATAACACCAACAATAACAACAGATACTGCATAGGAAACATAACTCTACCAGATATTAGACTGGGTTCTAGCCACTTGGTCCCTCAAATAGGATAGGGCCTTCTACCCATAGGCCCATTCCCCCCAGGGTCCCTTGCCTGGGAGCACCTCCCCTGCAGGACCTGGGTTTCTGGTAACTCACGGTCCTTCCTCTGGGGACTGTCGATCTGGCCTCTGGGTCCCCATACCTTCTCAGGCCTCCTGGAGCCATTGGCCTCGAGTTGAGGGTTCTTCTTTCTGGGCCCTGTGCCCCATGTTGGGCACCCAGGGAGCTCCTATGAGAGCCGAGCCCTCGCTGGCTCCCATTCCCCAGCTTCATGTCAAAAATAAATTCTTAATCTTGTATATTGTGTGTGGGTATGTGGGTGTATGGGGAGGTTTGTGAGGGGGTGTGGCTGAGTGTGTTGGCATAAGGTTTGTGGGGGGGTTGTGTATGTGGGGGGGGTTGTGGGGGTAAGGTGTGGATGTGTGGCATTTGTGGAGTGTGAGCAAGGGCAGGGGGCTGTGGAACCCCCCAACACTCCCCCCATGGTGCAGCAACAGGTGGGGTTGTTCAGGGTGCTTGTGCCTGGCGCTGGTGCCTGGCAGCGCATGACTCTGGCCTGCATTGCACATTGTGGCAAGAGGCACAGCCCAGCCAGGCCCTCTCTACAGCCAGCACTCCCTGCTGTTCACATGCAGCCTCTGTACTTGCACGGCATGGGAGGGAAACCCCATGCACTGGAGCCAGCTGCCTTCCCTGCGCCCTGCCACGCAGGTCCCAGTGCAGTTCCTGCAGCAAGGGGTGGGGAAGGCAGCCAGCTCCAGCACGTGGGGCTTCACTCCTGTGCCGCACAAATGTGCGGCTGTGCATGCACAGCACAGAAT